GGTACCGTAGGCACACACGTTTTCTCTTTCTCAGCACTAAACTGAGCGATGAAAGACGGTGGGTACCCATTGTCTACGAGGGTGCTGGTTATCAGCCGCACCTCTTGTTCCAGCGTGTCAGCAGTGCATATTTTTCTAGCTCTGCTGAACAAAGTCTTCACTAGACCTTGTTTGTACCTCTTGGGGACAAAACTGTAGAAGTTCAAGTACTGTCCCTTCCACGTTGGCTTGCGGTAAACTGATCTGCGTACTGAACCGTCACTTCTACGCTCGATCACGATGTCCAAGAACGGCAGCGTATCATGCTGTTCGTGCTCCGTTGTCACTTTAATGTTTGGGTGTAAGCCATTCAACTTAGTAACCAGTTGGGCTAAGTGATACTCGCTGTCGCAGATTAACAAAATGTCGTCAACATACCTACGAAACAACACTGTTTCATCGATCTCGTCCCTGACTTGATTCTCGAGATGGGCGACGAAAATGTCTGCTAGTACCGGTCCCAGTGGACTGCCCATTGCAACACCATCCACTTGGCGACAACGGAGCACGAACAGCATGATACGCTGCCGTTCTTGGACATCGTGATCGAGCGTAGAAGTGACGGTTCAGTACGCAGATCAGTTTACCGCAAGCCAACGTGGAAGGGACAGTACTTGAACTTCTACAGTTTTGTCCCCAAGAGGTACAAACAAGGTCTAGTGAAGACTTTGTTCAGCAGAGCTAGAAAAATATGCACTGCTGACACGCTGGAACAAGAGGTGCGGCTGATAACCAGCACCCTCGTAGACAATGGGTACCCACCGTCTTTCATCGCTCAGTTTAGTGCTGAGAAAGAGAAAACGTGTGTGCCTACGGTACCAAAGATGAAGGTAACCCTGCAATTGCCATTCAAGGGCGACGACGTATGCCAGGTTTTTCAACGCCGATTGGAATCCGCAGTGGCGCGCGGATACCCTGCTGCGGAACCAGTACTCATCTACACAACGAATCGCATCCCTACTCCATCGGTTAAACCCCCGCTGTCACTGTCCAGCCGTTCACATATCCTTTACCAATTTACATGTATTTGCAAGGCCGAATACGTGGGCATGACAGAAAGACACTTGAGGGTGAGGATCACGGAGCACATACCTGCGTGGGTGAGTAAACACGTATCGCAGATGACCACGTCCACCACCCTGAATGCGCAGCCAAGGAAGCGAAATGAAGTTCCATACAAACAACCAGCTTCATCAATCGCCCGCCATCTGCTGGCTGACAATCACTGTGTAGACCCCGTGCGGGCGTTCCGTGTTATCTATGCATCAATGAACCCCCTAACTTTACGATATGCTGAGGCCGTGGCTATCAAACAACTTGGCCCAACCCTGTGTGTGCAGAAAGACGCATTTGTGACCCTGGCCTTGCCGTGGTAGCAGGCCGGGCACAGATGACAAAGTGACATGAATGTAGGTGTGTATAGTTTGGTCAATTTGGCATTTTAACTGCGCTCCTTTCATGATGCTATAAATTCACACGTCTGTAGTACGCACTTGAAAATATGCAAAGAAATTATTCCGGAATTAAATCGTGCGGCACTCTTGTGTTAACTTTTTTGCTAAAAGTTTCCTCGGGAACTAATTGTTTCAACTAGAGATATTGATCATGAGCACACGCTAGTGAAGTCTATTAATAAGACGTCACTTGCATTGTGGTAGTTGTTCATCGTCCCGAAATAACCAGCCCAGGGATAGACGGCCGCATGACACCATCCTTGAGAATGCTCATGTGACTTAGATACAGCCATGTTCCTAGCTTAGGTAACTTCTATACACAAGATGTGAAATACTGCTATTCTCAACTGCACAGGGCAACACCGACTTTCAGGTGTTTACTGCAAACATTTCTTTCTTAAGTCATTTCACTTGTTCACCAATCCCATAGGGGGAAACAAACCATCTGTTTTGATTTTGTTGCCCAACAAAGAGCTGATGAGGCATAAACCAATGTACAGAGTCCTCTAGGATTATGCGATCAAGGTAACATTTTACATCCCTTATGTAGAATATACGCAGGAACGTACTGACATGTTTCAAACCAGCCCATCCTAAGACACTTTACCTAACTGGTTGGATACAGTCTGTTGGTATGTTCAGTTATCTGATCACATCTGGGTCAGAAATTAGGCACCTATGTTCTGCGATAGCATTAGCATTCATCCGGAGTATAACACGAAAACCATTGGCAGTACGGGACGCAATTTGGCCTGCGTTCAGACCAAACCCAATTCATAACAACGGTAGCAGCTTTCTGTCGCAGCGTAAGTATTGCACCATATTGCTCCGCGAGGAAAATTTAGTAAAACCGCAGTGTCTAGCGGAAAGGTTTCGTGCTAATAATAAGCCTTTGCACGTACATGTGAAGTGGCTTCGGAAACTGTGGCTTGGTGTTCCCCGACTCTATTCAGTAAAAGCATGTTCTCAAAAATGGTGAGGATGCAGCCAACGCTCCACAGCTACCATATTTCCTAGTATTTCTACGCACCATCAGACTGTCATATACCTGCTTCATTCTCCTTCACTCCAACATTTACACACGCCACCCTTAGTTATGAAGAAACTGCAAAAGTTTTGTACCCAGATTTCCTCCGGTGTTGCCAACATTAGTCAGGAAGCACTGCGACTGGACGCTGTAAAGACAGCCTAGCCATTATCAAGATTCTTTCAAAGGTACATAGGTGAATGGCAAGTCCCTAGTTACTTTGGTGATTTATTCAATGTACTATCGAAATGATATCTGATCTTCATTAAGCGTATTTTAACTAGGCGGACTTATCTTCGTTATTTAGTCCTACCTGGTCCCGAAGTCATCCTATGAAGCTGCACAATCGGCGCTTTGGCCGGATTGCACCAACAACGCATTCCTCGAGCATTGGAACTTGCTTCCTGGAAAGCATTGTGAGGCAACCTATGGTTAAGAGTTTTGAGGGTCAGTTTGAGGCTTTTGAGTGAAAACACAAGGTATATCTTTTTTCTGACCATTCCCCAACTTCCTAACTCTATTTAATTTTATCTGTGTCACTTCATTTATTCGTGCTACACTTTATCCAAACAACCTTCTTGCTGCTCGTTCACTTCCCATATCTCCTGGTTACTCCAACTGATCGGCAAAGCAGGGAATTAAAAACGATCATTTTCTTCCCTTAGGTTATCTACATATGTCGTTAGTTTGCAAGTGATCAGATAACACAAAATGGTACCGTCTTGCGGTGTTCGTCTTCTCATTGTGTTGCCCAGAATTCTAATAAAGTATACGTAGGTATTCTTTGCATGACCAAAATGCAGTTCAGGATATTTATTTGATTTACAAAGTCGTTAGGATACCTTAGTAATTCCTGGCTCAAAGATTCCCACAAGGAGGAACGTTCACGCGATCCTCTTATCGTTCCAGCTCGAGCTGAACTAGAACTTGAACGAATTCTCGTTCGAAAATATAAGTTTGATTGACTCCCATTACGAAGATTGTGCTGATGTGATATTACTTAAGTTCAACGAACAATCACCTAGATAATCTGATCGGATTGCAAATCATTTTGGATATATGGCACCTTACAATCATGTTTGGCGACATCCGGTTTCGTATTTGCCTGTCACTGTGTCCAGCCACAGGACGCCTGCGCCTACAGAGGGACCAGGGTGGCTTGCACTGCACCACCTACAGCTCCAACCACACACTCCATGTCCAGAGTAAACCGAAGGAGTAAGACCGGGAGGCATGTGGATGGGAGCGAGGCTTCATTAACGGAGCTAGCCTACACACCTTCACAGGCACAAACAAGCACGCTGCATTTGGGAATTCAGCGCACACAAGGTGGTGGATGGACCGTAGTCCGCTCCACACGGAGTGCATGGAACCACTCTTCGAGCATTGCACGATCAAAAGGACCGTGCACCTCGTTCCCCCCAGTAACGACCAACTGACTCATGGAGCCCGTATGGACGAGGTGGTGGGTAAGAGGCAGGTAGGCACCTTGTCAACAAGCACATCAAGCGTAGCCACACCGGGGATGTCAATCAACAGCTAGACACTTGAAATAACATTATCAAATAAAATGTGTCTGTTAAAGCATAAGGTCAGGCAGACATAACTGTTCGTTAAATTAGCATATGATGTAAGCAGGTTAGCAACGAATCCGCGATAACTACAAAGTGTCCAGCAGTTACACAAAACGCTACAAACTCAATAAAGTTAACGAAGCGAGCCACAAACAGCTTAAGCAAAGTGGCTAGTTAGTAGAAGATTATTCAGGTAGGCGAAACAAACCAAATAAGGTGGAATGAAAGTTATCCAGATTAAAAGGACCTAATTTAAGTGTAAGTTGGTTTAGTCCAATTACGATGAAGAAGCATCATGAATGCAACGTCAACCTCAGCAAGGGGCACGGCCAATCACTAGAAAGAACGTTATCAAATAATATGTATTTGTTAAATCATACGGTTATGCAGCCATAAATCCACTTATTTAGCATATGACGGAAGTTGGTTAGTGATGAATCATCGATATGTACAAAATGTCCACAAGTTACTCAAAAATGCTACTAACGCAATAAAGTTAAAAAAGATAATCACGATTAGCATAAGCAATGTGTGCAAATTACTAGAAGATGTTTCAGCTAGACAGAACAAACCAAATAAAGTGGAATAAAATTTATCCACATTAAAACCTCCTAGTTTACGTATGATTTGGTTTAGCCCAAATGCGGTGAAGAGACGTCATGATTGCAACATCAGCCTCAGCATGGGGCAGACCTAATAACCTAACAGCCATACAACAGAAGATATAGATGTGCATATATGAAGGCTTATTGTAACCCGTTCGTTCCATTTAAACAAACTTGTCTAGTCTTACAAATAAAGTAATACGCTGGGAATGGCAACATGACTTTCAACTCCATAGACCATTTCCTCTGAGAAAGTATACAGGCGGGAAATTTCTTATTCCAGATGATGCAATGATCTTACCCGGTCACAAATGGTTCGGCGTTTGTAACAATTTGGAAAAGGGTAAGCAGGATTGTGAACCCAGTTCTCAGCGCATTTGCAGAAATAATAATCCGTACCATTGTGTGGGGTGCACTTGTTACCCAAGTATGTTCTGCACGCCTGTTCACCTGACACTGTTCCGGGTCTTCCACTCTGAAAAACATCAGGGTTCCCCAATCGGGCGTTATGAGTACTATTATCATTACTCATATAAAGGTTAAACGCTAACTCATCAACCTGACTTAAATACCGATAACCTGTAAGGGAACGGCATGAAAATTATCATGACGTCTATTTGCCCAGTTTTCAGCCGCAAAATTTCTATTAATTATTGTCCTTGTTGATTGCCATTTCAACCAACATTTCCTAACGCGCAGTGACACACTCCCACTTGACGCATAATTATCAGGTTATTTACATTGTGCACATACACAAAATAAATGAACATGGAGCGGTTTCTTACAGAGGGTAAAAAGCAAAACAGCAATTAGGAACACGATGCGTTGCTTAGTAAGCGACAAATGAAGATTCACAGAACAATGGGAATTGGGATTTCAGTATATTACAGCGGCATTCCTTTAATGTTTGATGAAACAATTACTGACAGTGGACATCCCAGACGCATTTGAATAGGTGAAAGCAAACGTAGTAAAGAACTTAAGCGTATTGCTCTTCTTCATCCTGCAAGGGAGCTGACTCAGTTAGTCGACTTAGAGAATAGAATGTGCTCCAATCAATGGTATACATGTTGTCGTAGACATGCAGCCTTCCAGGTTTCGCACGCCATAGCACATCTGTAGCGAAAGTAGTAATTAATTGCTACTGATTACTTCTTGTGGCCACGATGACTTGCTGGCAGGAGGTGTCTGTAATTATCCTACAACATCAACTTGGGTAACTATGCTATAGGCAAAAAGTGCTGTGCCGATATACTCATCGATTTAATAGTGTAGGCAAGCCGACCCTCGTTATCTCGAGGACACTTTGAGTTGGCCTGTTTCCAACGGCATGTAAATCAGCAAAGGTACATGCACGCTGTTGTTTTGCGGCTGTATTAAGTTATGCTCCCATAGGGAGGTCCAGAGTTTGCTGGTCATACATCACAAATAAGGTTAGCAAATTGGAGACCGATGACATGGTTAGAGTACTTTTGGCTTGTGACCACATTACCCGGATTCCAGACCCCGGCACGCACAGGTTTGCGTTACCCTGCAACGCTCCGGTAAGTTCACAACCACAACGAAGTACAACTGCATTGCCATTGTATGACTGCGTACCGAGGTTAAATTCGGGTACTGGCGTTTCAGTACCGTACATCATACCATCAATCAACCTTTGAGAAAATTACCACAGACTCATTTAGATTTGACGTAGACTGTTGCAGATAGCATGGCGTTGAAATATATAATAAAGACTGGTTGCAGCACCGATAATGATTTGATGGTACAAATCATCCATCGACTAACTGGTCTGGAAACTGCAAATACCCTACAGGAATCTTCTGCAGTCTTGAAAAATGTATGCCCTGATTAGTATCTCATCTCATTACGAAGAGAACTGAACGCTAGAGGGTGCATTCTGGTTTGAAACCTTAGATCATGTCTGCTGAATGGACACTCTTGTAATTTAAGTGTAGCAGCAGTGTTTATTGTCAATTAAATTGTGTACTGTAAACATTAACATTTGGACTAAAACGATTTGCTGCTTTCTAGCTGCTTGACCGGACATGTCGGATTTTACTTGGGGACCAAATATCTCTGTGTTTATTGATAGCTAAGTGGATGTATAAGAAAGAACCAATCAACAGTTCACCTAGCAGTTGGCTCCACCTCCCATTCTCTCAGTCAAAACGGAATTTCAAAGTTGCTGATTTGATTAATCAGGCGAAGTAAAAATCCATTAACACAATGCGTACTTCCGCTAAATGGATGATGTAATTTAAATGCAAACACTTGTAAGAATATCTTCCCGCTTTAGTAAGTTAGTTGATGACAACACTGGTGTGTTTGGCATACTAGTAGCAGTTTTACTGCTACTAGCAAACAGTTATATTACTGTACCCTAAGTTCCTTAAGTTTGGGGTAATTCAAAGTAACTCCATAGTTGATCAAATTAGTAGAATGCTAGCCAGTGAAATAAAGACAGCCAAGATCACCATTCAAGTACTTACTGCCGCAATCGCGCGAGAGCATGGAACACACCACCTAGTCCACCAATGAACCATGGGTCGAGGAAACAAGTCTGGCTTCAAAACTATTGTTTTACTGACCAAAACCAAGATCAAACTCCGCGTTGCACGCTGGAGAATTGGAAGCGCAATTAGTTCAGTCAAGTAATCTGCTTATGGCTTAATGAAGATGCACTCTGAATTTTTAGTATGAGTGACAGACGCAACCAGAGCTTCGATTTGGGGAAGGAGATGAACCGCTTAAAACACACATACTTGTCTGGACAGTTCTGTCTCTTACAGTTTACCGTGAATGCCACAACAACACAACAGTCGGTGAAGCTAAGTGGTTAACCTCATGGCACTGCTGTTATTTAACTTTAAGACTTGTGACTGCCACTCATTTACTCTGGATGTTGTGGTCCGAAGGCTTTTGATTTGCACCGTCTTGGGAGAAGTAACGGTGAAGCGACAGAACTCGCGATGTACTCGCTTGGTTTGCTCTTCGCTCTCCTTAGTCAACTTTACCTTCTAACGTGCAAACTGACAAATCGCATTGACTAAACAGCAACTCTAGTCAACAACTGGGCAGTGTGACACAATTAACTGATTAGGAGGTTGGTATTGTACTATGTTAAAGCCGTACACGTGATGTATGTCTAAAGACGCACTGTAAGATTCACGGAATTTACTTTTGCTTGATACGGCCAGTATTGCTTGTTAACCGGTATTTCTGAGTAATGGATTTAACATCGTAGCTTCCTTCAACAGGCTAGTTGGTCTTCAGCATTTCCGCAGGATAACACAAGGCATAAAAGTTTACTGGTATGTCAACATGTTATTACGGTTTACTGGGTGCTGATGAAAGTTAGGGTAGCCCTTTTTCTAGCCCTGCGTTTGTCAATCTGTAACAATTGTGGCGTTGTTGGGATGTCTCCTTGGTAAAGCTTCGTGTTTACGATGTCATCGTTCCAGCGGTGTTGCTACATGATAGTGAATCAAGACCAGTTTGCCATTCGTCGGAGGAGGTTCTTCGATATTAGGTGCTTTAGGAGAACTGATCGTGTGTGATAGCAAATCGTATCTGCAACGGTGAGCGCAGACGTCGTGACTTAAGAAATAGGTGTTTTCCATTCAGCAAGTTGGTTTTGCTACGCCAGGTAATATGACTCGGTTAAGAGGTTCCTTGTATGTCGGCTAAGCTTTTATTCAATTGTGCACTGTTTGTTTGTGCTGGACACTACTGGAAGAGATCACGCGGTGGTCAATCACACACTGACGATAACATATGAAATCATTAACTTCACACTTTGCCTGTTTGGGGACCCAAGGACGAAGAGTGCCAATGGCTCAAAGCAATTCTGGATATTACTAGTGAGTAGTGGGGATTTGGTATGATTAGAGATAGTTCATCTACGTTCACCAGCTGCTTGCATCCGGAAGTCATGGGGGCGGAACCAGGCAAGGGTCCGCCGAAGGCACACCACTGGAGAGACCCATAAGATTGAAACACCTGTGTCTGATGCTTTACCAGACCAGTCAAATCCTTCTGAGAGTGAACCGTGATGAACGATCTCTAATTCCGAATATATATAGCAAACAAAAGCCGTGGAAGATCTGTCTAATACTTGTTCGGATTACCCTAGTAAACGACTAACCATTAAAAAAGAGGAGAAAACAAATTTGGCGTGGGGAAACATGACAAAAACGGTTCCGTTCTTCCTGCAACACAACAGCTGGAGTGTGTTGCTTGCCTTCAAATAATGTGCAATAATAATGATTCAGCGGCGATTTCGCCAGTCATCTGAATTTCATGGTTTTGGTTGAATCTATCTCTAGTTATTGGACCACTTATTCTACCGCGTACGGCCACACTCCGACGCCTGCAACGGTCAAAGGCAATGGGCTCCAACTCCACCTTTGTAAGAATAAAACTGATTAGTTTCAGATTACTTACAAATAAAACTAAATTTTAAAAACCGTGTTGAAAACATTTTCAGACCAAACATCCTTTTACGTCTGGCTCGACGTGTCTTTTTCATGTACTGGTAGTGTGATTGTATATGGATGCACAATTTTAAGATGGAACATCCAAATTGTCCTCAAATGTTGTGACCACTGTCGACCGATGAGACTTGGTGGCTTAGGTTAACAAACAAACAAACAAACAAACAAACTAGTCAAATCGAGGACTTATTAAGAGTTGCATGAACGGTATTGATCGTCATGGGAACTGCGCAAGGTAACAAAGTGAAATCCAATGATGTATGTCTATGATAGGATCATGGTGAGTTCAGTTCTTCCTCAGTGCTGTGGGCTAAATAGTATCCAGCGCTCGAATATAATATTTGGCCGTATCATAAGAAGCTGATTAAGAAAACTGTCAAATAGATAAAACGGCTGAATACACTGGTGTACCTCAATGCAAGCATCCCGAAGTCGGTCACATCGTTGTCCCATAAAACCATTGCGACACACGCAGGCGTAACGGGCGGCTATATGCGCTCCGGTCAAGTAAAAATCATCATCCTTCTCATGCTCCGATGGTGGGGGAGGAAACGATACACACCGTAAAGTACCCTTCTCCGAACAGATCGGTTGAACTAGCGGGTTTTTCTTCCGTTCCTCAGCATTACGCGCACATAAATCAGGAGCTTCACAGGTTTTGGCGTGTTTGTTCCAAACATATCCCTAAGAGAAAAGGTTGAGAGACGCGCTCAAAACAATTTTCATTCACAATTGTTTGCGGTAATATATATATATATATATATGTACATATATATATATATATATATCAAGCCAGCTTTGAGGAACAGTATTGAAATGAATGGAAAATTTCAATGGATTTTGAAACATTGGTCAAGGGCATTAATCTGTCCCATAATCTGTTTAATTACCAAAATGATAAACGTTGAATGCTTCTTCCTAAGGCTTTAATTGCTTCAAGAACAGAATGCATAAATAATGTACACCGTCAATGAAACACTATACTCTCATACTCAAGAGAGCTTGAGAGCTTGTGAGGTGTTCTGAAATCCATGGTTATCGTTAATGCTGTGTTTGCTTCACTGCGGAACGCACTGAAAGCTTAGGTAGCTCCCAACTAATTGCGCGAGCAACTAGGATTAAGTTGATGAAATCATCCTAATATCTAAGCATCTGTGAAATTTGCAGTTTACTTTACAAAAGTGGGCTGTTGTACTACCTAACCGTGACAAATCCATTACCTTATCGATTGGCAAATTGCCGCTACATACATGGTTGGCGGCATCCGGTTTCGGATTTGCCTGTCACTGTGGCAAGCCACAGGACGCCTGCGCCTACAGAGGGACCATGGGTGGCTTGCGCTGCACCACCCACAGCTCCAACCACACACCCCATATCCAGTGTAAACCCGAAGGAATAAGACCAGGAGGCATGTGGATGGGAGCCACGTTTCATCAACGGAGCCGGCCCACACTCCTTCACAGGCAAACACAAGCACACTGTATTTGGGGAATCAAGCGCACACAAGGCGGTGGCTGGACCGTAGTCCGCTCCACACTGAGTGCATGGAACCACTCTTCGAGCCTAGCACGGCCACAACGACCGTGCACTCCGTCCCCTCCAGCAACGACCAACTGTCTCCTGGAACCAGTATGAACGATGTAGTGGGTAATAGACAGGTAGGCACCTTGTCAACATGCACATCAAGCGCAGCCACACCGGGGATATCACGCAACAGCCAATCACTTGAAACGACCAAATGAAATAAAATAAATCCAATAATGCATATAGATACGGTGGCATAACTCTTCGCTAAATTAGCATATGAAGTAAGTTGGCTAGCAATGAATCCGCGATAAGGAAAAAATGTCCACAAGTTACTCAAAAATGCTACAAACGCAACAAAATTACCGAAGATAAGCGCAGTTAGCGTAAGCGACGGGGCCAGCAAATAGAAGACTATTCAGATAGACAAAACTAACCAAATAAACTGGAATGAAATTTATGCAGCTTAAAGAGACCTAGTTTAAGTGTAAGTTGGTTTAGCCCAACTGCGGTGAAGAAGCATCAAGAATGCAACATCAGCCTCAGCTACATACATAGTTTCCTTCATACATACAGTTGAAGTTGCGTAGCTGGTAGGGGTAAGCTGCTTCTTCTCATTGCAGAGTTGCACTTCTGTTGACACTGATGTATGAGGGAAGATAGCTACTCATATCATCAACCCCGTTTATCCTTCTCAAAACCAAAATAACTGAGGCACTACGGGGATATTTTTGCTTACAAAGACAAAGATTTATAAAGCCATTCTTTCGCCACCAGTGTTGTCAGGTTCACAAGGATGAGATAAAACCCACTTGGTACTCTCCAGTACATGTTTGTGGAGAATGCTGGTGTATAGTAGCAGCGCTTTGCGTCCAGCGATGAATTCAGACAATGTGGCCTAAGAGACAACCTTGAATCCACTTGTTTCGTTGCGCCAACTGAGAGGATTTAGCTACAAACCAAGTAATGTCTGGCTAACGCCACACGTTCCTCGCGTTAATTTTGCCCATAGGATAGCAATGGAAAGAAACTCCGTGGTCATTAGCCTACTTAGTGACAATGAAATACGATGACGTCGATATAATTTTCCAATTTATCTTAGGTCCAGGTGCGAAAAACACCGTTAGATCAAACCAGTGAAATGTATAGGGTGGAACAGCGTCCCCTGAAAGAGTTTTGTGAACCAGACTGATAAATTTGTTTATTGTTTAAACAAACAGTTCTAGATAACGCCTAACGATCACTAAGCTAGCTGGTGTTGGGTTACTGCTGAAACTTATGTTACAACGATGGATCTCATCACGTCCGACTATACGCTTTTCGACTGCGACGTCTGAGTTTTCATCTCCCGTTTGCAACCACCTACACCATTGATTTGACCAGCTCCACTATCTATCCCACATCAGTAATGTTGTTACCTACTTTTGGCGCAGATGACCGCTAGAAAATAAATGGACTTCCTTTTTATTGACATATGCCAACCTGTGGTATGCGCATGTCCAAACTTTGCCACATTCAGACTAGCCCCAAAAACTTTTCTCACGTTATTGGATGCGTTAAAGATGTTTAGTCTAAAGCGACATCCGGATACATTAAAGTAAGCTGCTCTCACTAACATGTGAAGCTCTAGAAACATACATGCGTTGCATGCTTCCTACACCATCCAATGAGACATGTGTTTCTGTCGCACTTTTCCTCCCACCACTCGAATGAGTGCATTTGCAGTTTGATACGAAATACCTTTAAAATCGGTAGCATCTACATATAAACAAACAGAAATTGAGACGAATACATCCTTGGTTGGCAGAACAAGCAATGCATGAGCTGCTTTATCATGCTTTGAATTGTGTTATTGTTACATGCATACTCCTTTTTTCTGGCCTTTTTGACATATAGAAAACAAACCACCGATTCAGCGTACAAATGTGTGCTCCCATTTATGGATCGTATATCTGTCGTCGGCAGAAATACAAAACTATATTTCTATTTCTATTTCACAACTCACTTGATTTTCGTGATACTTCTCGGTTAAGTTGCAAGTGGTACAAATAGGCAACTGTTTTTGACACCCCAAACAGTCTTACAGGGGAGCGTCTTTGTTAATTTTTCAGTTCTTATTTACGTTCTATGCGCAGCGTACTTTTGTCCCCGTACCAATAGTTACCATGGGCAAGCGTCTAGACAAGGTTCAAGTGCGTCATAATCGTTGACCGAGACACTCCGATGTTGTTTACCATCGGTCGTGACATTGGCGACCTCAGATACCATTAACATTCTCATCTCGTCATCGCGCGAGTGGCAACGTCCGGCCACACATACCTACATTTTTCTCACCCCTCACCCTCATGTCCAGTGGACTGTTCTCGGTGAACAATGAAGCCAGTACACCACTGTGTGTAATCACGGTCGATGCCAACGCCACGAACTAGCGACGGTAATATAATGTTTCGCTTTGTGACCGAAAGCATTTGTTTGAAATATTCACGAGCATTGTTGTGAGATGTCTTTTCTATGCAGTAATGTTTGTTTATTCACTGCGTCAGGCACAGGGACAGCCATGTCATATACATACAAACTTTTATTAGCCGTTCACTTGGTGGAAGTTCCCTAGCAAATTTATTGCTATGATAGCAGCATTCATGTTGTTTTGAAAAAATTTTGAAGAGAAGGGGAAATAAATTACAACTCTGGTGAATTCAGGATACGGCTTCCTATAGTCCATGCAATAACCGGAATCGTGAGACACGGTTGAGGGAATTCATAATGGAAATTGTGTTTCCGTGCACTCCCTTCAAGAACAACAACAAACTTGATGGATCTACATAATTGAAAGCTTCTTTAAGTCAACTAAAATAACCTTTTGTTTTTGTGTCTCTGCTCGAACGACTGAGAAAGGCCAAATCTTTGGTCAAGGCAATTATCACTCTGGTGGGAGCCACCTAGTTTGCAATGATTCGGCTTTCACGACGACCATGAGTTGTCGAAAAGTGATACAGTTGAGCGAAAGCCATTGACCCTATGACTTTGCACCAGGTGCGTTAATTATTTTTAAAGACAAGCTTGACATTTGATAGTTCCCAGACCGAAGGCACCTTGACGGTTTCCGAATGGTGTTTAAATGAGCAGCAAGTGCAATTAATAATGTCATCATCTTCCTGCAAAGATGGAGGAAGCTTATCGGGTTCAGGAGCATTATTTGTTTTGACACGATAACCTTGATTTGAATCGCTTCAAACTACGTGTGACATCAAATTTCCATGTTTGCTCAGGTTATTGAGTAGAAGACAGTGTTGTAGCAGGTCTGTTAAACTACTCTTCAAAATGTTCTGCTCAAAGCGGTAGTTGATGGGGCTGCGATTGGTTTAACTGCCCAACTTTCTGTACTATTATCCCCTTTACTGGGAGCTTTCATATACCAGCATCTCGGATGAGCTGGAACAGTGTGCGACTCTTTTCAATGGCAATGACATTCTCCATCTCATTTGCCCTTGCAAACTACCAGAGTTCACGGAAATCTAGAAGGTCACAGGAAGAGGTAACGATCAAGTTGTATTGCTAAACATAACTTTTCCTAGGTATATTGCTTCCATTTTCTTTTTCCAATCCAGGACAGCAATGTTTCGTAGGTAACATGTTCTTTATTGTGGCTAAAGTAGGTTCGTACAACTTGGTTCTTGCAACTTTTGCTGGCTGATATCCTTGATTTGGGTGTGTTTAGTGTCACTTTAGACAAATTGCCCACCCGTCAGATTGCTGCTGTTTAGAGACCCTTGAATCTGTGGCTCAAGAACAACATCAGTTGCGGAAGTGTACGTCTGCATGTTGCGGTTCTACACTTTCACCAAATCAAAAACTAACAAAAAGTTTAAAACGGTGAGTGAAAAATTGGACACAAATTGCCTGCAATTTTCTTTTCTTATACGGATCCTGTTGTCGAATTCCTCTGGGATTTCGATGAAAAGTTCTGTACCACAGCCTGTGGTTAAATAATGATACTATGCTTCATATATTTGGATTGTTCTTGGAAATACGGACTGGCAACATTGCAAACAAAATGTGCTTAAGCCGTCATTTTTCCTTTCTTTGTATTTTTTATTCCGTATTGTTTTGTTGGTTTCAAAAGTATTTCAATACGACTTTCCTCTTTAAACTTCGTAGGC